CAGGCCTGAGGTGCAGGGGCAGTGAGAGGACTCACCAGAGACAGCGTGGGGCGCAGAACAGCCTGACTGACAAAGTACACTGCTGAGGGGAGCAGCGGGCAGGTCAGGAGAGGTCTGCCACACCATGTGGATCACCCCAGAGGTGGGGATCGAACCCATGCGGAAGTGGCTTTAGCTTCTCAGTGCTGTGCTTTAACCTACTGCCCTGCCAGGGAGGATCTCCCCACCCCCATTTTTGATCCCATTCCCAACTCCACCCTGGTAAAATGTCTCTGGTATATAGTTGTTCATTATCATTATTATTTTTCCCCTGGTCCTTTCTACTCCTGCTGGTATTTTTTCCTTTTCTTTCTGCCCCATTTTGAAATAAAGAAAGAAATCAGCGTCCAGTTAGACATCAGTTCCTGCTGGCAAACAGAAGACTCGGGAGCGCCAACCTGCCCCTCTAGGTCCAGAAGCCACGGTCCACCTCTCCCTACCGCCCCCTTTCCCAGAGTTTGCCGACTGCTCAGTTCTCCACCCGCGTGCATGGTAGAGACAGGCTCCTTTCCATACTCAGCCTATGTATGCAGAAGTCCCTGCCCTGCCCTTCCTGAAACTGGGGCTCTCTGAAGGCAGTTGGGGGGGGAGGGGCTAAGGGAAGCAGGTCCCCTCCCATGCTTGCCAGGACTCTCCTCCGGCCACAGGGCTCGCTTACTTTTCGCCTTCTGCCCCCTTGAGCTCTGTCCCCTCCTTACAGGAGGGTGTGCCATTCCGCTACCTGCTACGACTCTTCCCTGTCTCTCACCCCCTGGCCACCCCCTACCTTCCTCAAAGGGCTCAGTACCCCACTGTCCAGGTGCCTGCACTTCCCTGGGGCAGGCGGCCGCCTGCTCTCAGCGTTGCTGCTGCTGCCAGCACCGGTGGCCCCTGCAGTTCCAGCCACCCTTGACTGGCGCCCACGCGCACGAGTCTCAGCAGGAGCGTTGCTTGGCTGCGCCAGCGCGGAAGTCATCGTTCATAGAGCAGAGGAAATGGATCCTCAGACAGGATTAGGGACTTCCCTGAAGTGACAGCACATGGCAGTGGATATGCTTGACGCTGGCTCTACCGGGGAGCCCTGAGCACCCCAGGCGCGGCGGCCATCACCTCCGACACCTCCGACACCTCCGCCGCTGTACTGGGAACCCTGGCCGCACCCTCACTCAGCTCCGCCTCCCCCTTCTCCTCCAGCCCTGTCCACTGTGATACGTCCCCCGGACCCCTTCACTTCTCCCCAGATGTTCTCTCTTCTGAATCATTCTTTTCATCAGCAGGGTACTCAATTGTCTCCCATCTGTGAAACCCCTGTCCTCCTCCCACCCCCCAAGGTCTTCCTTTCCCTGCTCAAGTTAACTTGTGGGAGCTGCTCATGCTCACATGCTCATGCCCACTTCCTCCTGGTGAGCTCAGCTGCACTCTGCTGCCACCACCCTGTGCCTGTGGTGAGACCCAGCAGCCACTGCAGGAGGCAGAGCGTCAAGCCTGAACCTTCCTCTCTCAGCTCTTTCAACATCCAGGCGGCTGATTCCCCTCCCTGCCAACTCCTTCCCAGCCCCCCTTTTAGGGTCCCCCTTCTTCTAAATAGCCTTCATTCTATTTTCTAAAAGGAGGCAAGGGGCCACCTCTTGGCCCACTGCCCACACGAGCTCTGTTTTGCTGATGGAGAGCTGTTGAATTCCCTAGAGCTGAGATTCTGTATAAATGGACACATTTACAGCTTCCTGTCCATTTAGCTAGCCGTCATTCTAACAAAGGTAGTACGAATAATAACTTGCACATGTAGCCATTCACCACTTACAAATGCTTCCACTTGCCCTTCCCTATCCCTGGCTATGTGTAGTGAAAATATTATGTGTGTATACTAGTAAACTGGCGTCCTTCAGTTCAACTCACTTTCCCGAGGTTTGGGGGTAGCACTGTCAATGAGCCTGAACTTGGCAAAGAGTCCTTGCTTAGGCCTCTGGGCTTTGGTGGCAAGGATCATGTTCCCAACCCCCCTACTCAGTTCTACTCGTGACCGACAGGTTATTGATCTTAAGGCAGGGACCTCCGTCATCTTCATTGTTCGTGTTCCTGCCAGGC